TCCTGATGAGTCGGTGAAACTCCGACGAAACAGTTTGTCACAGCCCCTCGTTTGTTGTCCTCTTCTCCCTCTCTGCCTACGGTTTACCGGGCAGTTCTATTTGACGATATATATATATATTGTCACAGAACTAAGAGCGTAAGCACATGAAGTAGAAGAAGAAATAAGATGAGCGAAGAAAAGAAAAATGAAAGGACAGACAGGCAAAGAGACGGACAAACCAGAATGACACAAAACAGTGTCCTCTTATTCTTTGTTTCACAGTATTATTATTTCTTTCAGTGTTTTACAAAAAAAAAATTCACTGAATCAAAGGATAAAAATAAAAAACAAAGACACATTGAATACGCAAGGAAAATGAGCGATAGCGAACTTCAGAAATCAAGCAGCATCATACGCATGAGACCAGATAGTCGTGACCTCGAACCACAAGCAGAATTGCAACACGAGTCCCACCAAATAAGAGCACAGCAAAAGCTCATAAGTGACATTGTTCGTATAGTCTCATCATCATCAACAAAGAACCAATGTCGACATCCTATCTGGCACTCTGTGCCCAGACTACAAATGGCAGATCCTATCTAGCCTATCTACAATGCCGCTGGTGACGTCAACAGCTCCCCGAAGTACGAGCAGATCTCGGCCAATGCCGTTCGCCTCAAGCACCAGGGATGTCTCTCGTATCACTCACAACCTCGATCCCCCACTCACAGATGCCACATGCACCCAAGGACCACCATGAGCCCCATCCAGCGCAGCGCAGCTGCTATGGCTGCCTGCTCTCCCTGCTCGCCCGTGAGCGCGTGAGCACTGGCCAGCGTCCAGCGCAGCATGCAGCCAGTGCCCGAATGCCGAATCTGGAGGCAGGCTCTTTCCTAAATGGAAGTGGCCTGCCTGCTGCGTGCGGCAAGGCTGCACTGGGGCTCAGCCCAGAAGCTTCCGGTAGGCCCCGAGAGGCGGAGCCTCAGACCCAGGGCCTGTGGGGGTTCCCCGTGCCCAACTGCCCGCAGCCTGTGTTCGGTCCCTGTTGCGTATCTGGCCCAGGACGTGCCTCAGTTACATTTGATAAAGGCAGCCTGGGCCTGGGCGCTTTCAACCAACTAGCGCTGCGCAACTGCCTGAATTTTCCCCAGTTGCGTGGTAGTCCAAAATAGGCCTAGGTCGGGCCTGCCTTCACTTAGGGCGGCCGACCTTGCCCAGTAAGGCTTACCGAGGCCTTGTGCCTCGCATATATATATATATATATATATATATATATATATATATATATATATCCCTGTATTTCAATACAACGATCTATACAATCGGCTTTTCCATTTTTGGAACAGAAAATCACTCAAGTGAATTACAAATAACCTTTGTTTTGTTTGTATATCCTGATACTTATTTGATTGATTTGATGCATCCAGCAGGAAAGCAAGAATATTAACTTCCATAATTTTTCCAATTATTTGAATCTTTCAAAGTATAATATATATATATATATATACCGGGCAGTTCTGTTTGTGACGATATATACTACGACTTCGCTAGCTTCCTGCTACGTTTTTTTCCGGTCAGGTCGAGCGGCAGTGGTCGGGGCCGTTACTAGGCGGCCATGCTGTGCCTCTAGTGCCAGCGGCGTGTCTGGAGTGTATTTTTTGGCTGTGACAGACCTTTCTTTGTTTCGTGGATGTTTTGCTGGCTTGTGATGGGGTGTGAACCGACAGTCTGTAGAGTTTTCCATCTGGTGTGGGTGAGTGATAGTCTACTTTGATTTTGGTTAAGGTAGATTATCATTTACAGTGTAATCAGTGAGGGGATTCTGCAGACTGTTGAGGGTTCAGCCTCCTGATGAGTCGGTGAAACTCCGACGAAACAGTTTGTCACAGCCCCTCGTTTGTTGTCCTCTTCTCTCTCTCTCTGCCTACGGTTTACCGGGCAGTTCTGTTTGTGACGATATATATCCTACCCCTTAAGCAACATTGGCCGCGGGGGGGAGGTCGATGGTCTGCTGCGCGCCGGATTTGGGGTCGAAGTTTTGAGGCGAGCCGGCGGATGAAGGCGATCCAGGGCGGGGGAGTCTGCAGAGGCGCGCGCGTACCGAAATGTTCACAGCGCTCCATTAAACGAGTGAGCGCGCCCATGGGGCCGGGCGGCGGCGGGCGTAGATGTGAGGGAATATCTTGAAGCCGCTGCCGTCGATAAGCGGGCGGCCTTTTTTTCATTTAGCATTTTCGTTTTTGGCCTGTCGTTTCCCGCTTTTTGTTTTTGCTTTTCTTTTTGTTTCGTGGTCGGCGTGTCGTTCCTCTTTTTTTTTTCTTACTTTTCCCGCTTTTTGTTTTTTCTTTTCTTTTTATTTCCCGGTGGGCATGTCGTTTTCTGCTTTTTGGTTGCGGGCGTAGGCTGCAGCGCCCGCACCGCGGGCGCTACGCTAGTATATATATATATATGAACAGAAGCGAGATGCCTCCTGATGAGTCGGTGAAACTCCGACGAAACAGTTTGTCACAGCCCCTCGTTTGTTGTCCTCTTCTCCCTCTCTGCCTACGGTTTACCGGGCAGTGCTATTTGACGATATATGAACAGAAGCGAGATGACAATTTTCAGATTGCACAATCACATTGAAAGCCAGATCGTATCACAGTGTTCAGAAAGCAGCATTGCACCAATATGACACCAATGGAGAATCGTAGCACTGAAAACTAATGTCAATGAGAGCTTGCTCTCGCCACCACCAACATATGTATCCAGTCCCTATCTCCCTACTTGGCGCTCGGCGCCCAGCCTACTCCCTACACAGCTACTACTAGCCTACTAATTGACAATGCAACTGTTGACGTCAGCAGCCTCCGAAGTACTTGAAGATGTCGCCCATGCAGACCATCGCCAATACCAGGTATGTGCCCTCACATCATCATCATCATCCTTCTCTCTCTCTCCCACGTCTTACACCCACGTCTTCCCTCTGTACACCCGAAGACCACCCCTGTGCCTCACTGTACATCCAAGCCCGCCAGCTATGGAGGCTGGGCTATGGCGCTGCCCTCAGCAGTGCCCTCCTCCTTGCACGACCGCACGTGCTTGCACTTCGCCTCTCAGCGCTAGCAGCAGCCCACGAGCTTCAGCTCCAGCAGCCCTGCCGCCAGCATGCGAGTGCCCGAATGAATGCCCAGGCAGCGAGGTCCTTCCTATATGGAAAAAGCCTGCCTCATTCGGCAGTCTGGCTGGACTGGCCTGGGCCCAGAAGCTTCCGGTAGGCCCCAGGACGCTGCGCCTATCTTGCAGCTACTGGGCCTCATTTGGTTGGGCCTCCTAACTGTCTGTGTATGAGGCTGCCATTCTTGTCCAGGGCCTGCATCATTTTGGAAAGGCCTGGAAGGCCGTCGAAAGTCTTGCTGCTCGGCCTGTGTTTTCCTCAACCAACTGGCGCGACGAAACTGCCTGGACCCCAAATAAGAAATCAGAATCCAAGGGCCTTTCGTGATTTGTTAGGCCCGCCTTCACTTAGGGCAGGCACAGATGCAACAGGGGGCCCTTAGGCCTGCCGAGGACCCAGATCCTCGCATTCCTTCCTCCTGTACTTCGATAGTCCTATGAGAAGTCTTCTATTCTGCAGGCATCTTTCCTTTGAGATCTCTTTCATAGCCTGCAATGACTTGAGGTGCAGTTTCCATGAGTTCTTCTCTGGTGAACCACCAATCTTCGCTGGGGTCCAGATGATGTCTGAATCTGACCCGGTACTGCATTTTTGGCTTAGGAGGGCGGCCTCTGCCCGGTGGTCGAGGAACAGGCATCAAACGATGCTCTACGATCTGGTCGATGTCCACTTCGCCATCCATGGTTGGGGGCAGCATTGACCGTCTGGAAGGGAATTGTGGAGACTCTGCGAAAGGTGTGTACGTAGATGTGGGGGGATGCGAATCACATAGGAACGTCCGTTCATCTGAGCACCCACTATGTCTAAGACCTCCCAAGGACCAAAGTACTGTGGCATTAGCTTTCTAGAAATTCCCAGTTCCTGTCCCAACTCAGATGATTTAACCCAAACTCGTTCTCCTACCTGAAATTTAGATGGCCGTCTGTGCTTATTCTCAGATGCCACCATGGCATCTTGAGCTTTTCTCATATGCTCTACAGCCTGCTGCAGCATCTGATCATACTTTACAGCAAATTCTATGCTGCCTGGTGCTGCAGATGGTTGACTCTCAGGTAATAGAAAATCTAAGGCGTTTCTAGGCCTTCAACCAAGATGCAGTTGGTTGGGGGTCATGCCAGTCGTGCAGTGTACAACATTGTTATACAGGCTGGCGATGAGAGGCAGTTTCTCATCCCAGTCATCCTGACTTGGCTTAATGTAGTGCCTTAGTAGATGCTGCACTACTCTGTTCATCTGTACCGCCTGTCCATTTGACTCAGGGTGATTCCCTGATGTCATTTGCAGTCTGGTACCCATCTGTTGGGCAGTGTTCTGCCACAGTTCGCTCGTAAAGCGAACATCCCTATTGCTGACAATAGACTTAGGTAAACCAAAGTCTCGTACCCAGTTGTCCATGAACAATCTGATGACATAGTTGGTTTTAGCAGTCTCAGGCATAGCGATCAGTCTTGCATACTTAGAAAAGCGGTCTACTATAACGAAGATGTGTATTTTCCCATACCTGCTGGTCACAAGAGTATCCACGAAGTCCATGGAGACACTCTGACCAGGACCTTCAGGAATCGGCAAGGGCTTGATGAGCCCAAGCGGTGCCTGAGTCCTAGGTTTGTCACGTCGACAGACCTGGCAGGTTTCAACATACTTCTTGGCAAGCGGTGCCTGAGTCCTAGGTTTGTCACGTCGACAGACCTGGCAGGTTTCAACATACTTCTTGGCATCTTCCATCATAGAAGGCCACCAGAATTTCTGCACTAGGTTAGCTGAGGTTTTTCTATAACCGAAATGACCAGTTGACACTCATCTAAAAACAAACTACGCAGAGACTCTCTATTAGGCACACATAGTCTTTTATTCCCTGCCTTCTCAAGAAACAGCAAGCCCTCTACCATCGTAAATTCATCCAAAGTTACTTTGTTCTTCGCTTGGAATTTACGGATGATCTCAGGCATAACTGGATCTTGCTCGTGTGTTCATCATATACTTTGTCACTTCTCGTGTTTGTGTGTTCATATTACAGTGTAATTATGTAATTATGTATGTATTTGACTGTTTTAAGCATCATATATATATATCTGTTGATGGCCAGCTGATCACTGGAATCCGAACCACCACTGTCTCGGTCCGAAGCCAAATGGCGCCAAGTGAAAGAGTAATGAAAAAATGGTGGACAATGGTGGGGAAATGACAGGAAAGTGGTGGAAAAATGGCGGGAAAATGATGGGAAAATGGTGGGAAAACGGTGGGAAAATGGTGGGAAAATGACGGGAAAATGACAGAGAAGTGACCCAAAAATGATGGAAAAATGACAGGAAAGTGACTGACAAATGACAAAAAAAATTGACCAAAAAATGACGAAAAATAAGGAAAATTTCAGAAGAAAAGAAGAACCATACGAAGGTGAACTTCCCTGTACAGTTCTGACTCTGCCGAATGTGAAAATGGCATCCTCTTCTTCTTTTCTAAGTTTCTTTTTTTTTTTTTTTTTTTTTTTTTTGAGATGCACTCCCTGTTGAACATCCGTTTCCGTGTTGCTTGGTTTGCGAGTACTATTGTTGAAAAATTGCGAGTGGTTGAACGTAATTTTTCTTTTACTTCCCCCCCAAGGAAAAAAAAAAATATTTAAGGAAAAACTACACGGGAGTCACAAAAACGAGTTATAATTGCACTGCGGGCCAGGATACAGTTTTGGCAAATTGCAGTTGGGGCAAATGTGTACAACCCATCCATCTTTCTGGCCAGGTAGGGTGCCTGAAGTGCAATTGCAAACTGTATCTTGCCCCATAGTGCAATTATAACTCGTTTTTGCGACTCTACTCAATTTACCCCAATATTATTTAAAGAAGACCGAAGTCCGTTTGAGCAACAATGATGGTCCTAATCTGACCGGTTCCCCATCTGTTTTTTTCGCTTTCTATTTGAATCTTTTCTCGATTTTTTATGCGTGTCATCCTTGCTCAGTCGCAGGGGCCATGCCAATCTTTAATTTCTCCGTATCGTTCCTATTTTTAACGGATGTTCCGAAAGGACACTCCCCATTTTTGTGTATCAGTCAGCAGCAGATAATGGTGGGAATGTAGTTGGGTTCGGGATGCGGTTGCGGTCGGGATGGCGTTTCGCCGCCACCTTTTGTGACTGTCGCAACTATTGAGCATCAACGGTTGGGATCGTGTGCTTGCTGATTTCATCTGTCTGTGGTTCAGGTTGCTTTGATCGAATTTGTTTTGTTCAAAGTTGCTGCTTGGCGGGATCCCGGTTGCTATGTGACAAGACTGTCGAGACCCAGCCATGTTTCGGACACGTGGAACCACATCTGGAACGACAACCACACACTCGAATGATCTGTGGTACCACATTTGAAAAGGCAGGCTGCACTGGTTCGTGGAACCATAATTAGAGGGACACTTGGGACCACAATAATTGGTACCACTCATGGAACCACACTCAGAACGACACGCGGCACCTCGGAGATGAAGGAAGGTGGTCCTAGTCGGCCGCATGCTGTCCTCACTGCTGGTTAGTTGACGTGTCACATTTCGAGGTCGCTGCATGGTCGTTGCTGATCAAGGGTTCTCTTGCACGTGGCGGTGGGTGCTGGTCCTATCGCACAGCCAGCCCAGCGTGACGTGCTTTGGCTGTCGAAGCATAATGCCAGCTGTGTCGCCCTGCGCGGGAGCGCGGAGTGTGCTGACCTCTCCCACGGGTGGGTACAGAGTCGGTGTACAGAGTGACACGTCATCTACCATGCCAAGCTGGCATGCCTCGTGGCGTGCTTGCCGCCGCTCTTGTGCGGTGCAGACGAGCAATATGTCGATCACTCCGACATCTCTCAGACGAACAATGATGACGACGATGACGACATCTTCGTCACCATCGCTCGTGCGTTCGTGGTCGTCCCGGTTGGAACATAGAAGAGCCAATCTGAAGGGAGAATGCTGCCAATTAGGAAATCATTCCGTCAAGAGTAAAAATCTTCATGGCTGTTGTCGTCGTACTTGCCAAGTGAAGATGATCAAGAGCGTGACCACCAGTGGTTTCAAGGAGCCATCAAAAAAAAACGTCACTTTGGGCGGCGACCGGTCGTTCCTCCTGCATAGGGCGACTACCAGTAGTGACCATCAAAGATGGTGGGCATATAGAGTCTGTCCCCCTGGACCTTTCCTGCCTCCGCATTCCTTCGCCCTACCATCTCTCCAGACAATGACTGGATTACAAGCTTCAGCGAACCTCTTCTCGGTGAGCCGGTTCTGCACTGCCGGACCCTCACCTTGCAGCTCCCCATCGCAAATGTCCTTATCATCATCATCATCATCATCACCACCATCGAATTCATCATCAACATCGTCGCCTTCTACTAGGACCGGTCGGCGCATCTCTCAGCGGTCGGCCTTGGCTTCCGCACCATCTTTACGTGATTTCATGAGGCGCGGCGGTGCAGTTCCTGCCGCGATCCCGACGAGACAATCGGCATTATCCGAGATCCCAACGACAGGAGACAACATCGCGGCGGCGGCAGAACCGTCGGATTCATCTATGTCATCCTTCGAGATCCCAATGGACACGAGTACGTCCAGACCAATGGACAGCTTTTTCCCGCCAAAAATTCCTTATCTCCCCGATGGAGCAGTGAAGAAGCACGAGGGCGGTCGGATCTACTTTGAAACATACGGCTGCCAGATGAATGTGAATGACATGGAGATCGTGCTGGCAATCATGGCGGATGCGGGGTACCAGACAGTGGTGGAGGATCCAGAAAATGCTGATGTCGTCTTCGTAAACACGTGTGCAATCAGGGAGAATGCCGAGCGGAAGGTCTGGCAGAGGCTTGATTACTTCAGACGGCTCAAGCGCGAGAGAATGTGGCAATTGCGTACATATAACTTCTTCGAAAGTTCAGAGAAACATCGGGGGCGAAGAGCACGCCGATCATCACCACCATCAGGTGCGGAGGCGGCGGCAGGGAGCGCGACGTCGTCGTCAAGATCAGTTCCGCCACCGCCGCAGCAGCAGGAGCAACGCAGCGAGGAGGAGGAGGAGGAGGAGAGAGGGGAGGAGATGGCAGCAGCAGGTGGTGGTGGTGGTGGCGATGACGACAAGGTTGTGGCTGTCCAGACCGCGACTGCGGATCCCGATCTCAGACCTCGGTTTCCACTGAAAGTCGCCGTTCTTGGATGCATGGCGGAGCGGTTGAAAACTCGCCTTCTCGAGTCCGACAAACTCGTTGACGTGGTCTGCGGTCCGGATGCTTATCGGGATCTGCCACGTCTGCTCGCCGCCGTCGGGGTCTCCGACCCTTTCTCCTCTGCCACCACGTCTTCTCACGCCACAGCCATCAATGTCGCGCTCTCGCTCGATGAGACCTATGCTGACGTGTCGCCGATCCGTCTTGATCCCGATTCCGTCTGCGCCTTTGTGTCTGTGATGCGCGGGTGCGACAACATGTGCTCCTTCTGCATAGTGCCATTCACGCGTGGTCGGGAGCGATCTCGACCGGTTGCAACGATCGTCCGCGAGGTGGGAGAGCTGGTGGCTCAGGGGGTGAGAGAAGTAACTCTGCTCGGGCAGAACGTCAACAGCTATCGGGATCTCTCGGCGCCCGATCTGATTCCATGGCAGATCGAGACCGTTCAGTCCCAATCTGGAGGAGGAGGAGGAGGAGGAGGCGGGTTGAGTGCTGGATTCTCTACCATCTATAAGACAAGAGAAGGTGGTTTGCAGTTCGCTCATCTTTTGGACCAGCTATCTCGGCAGTATCCTGACATTCGGTTTCGGTTCACCTCCCCCCATCCGAAGGATTTTCCTGACGAGTTGCTGTACCTAATCCGAGATCGGGACAACATCTGCAACAACATACACATGCCAGCGCAGAGCGGAAGCTCTTCGGTGCTTGAACGGATGAGGAGGGGCTATACGAGGGAGGCGTATCTGGAGCTAGTTCATCGAATGCGGTCCATTGTGCCTGACGTAACTATCAGCAGCGACTTCATCGCTGGGTTTTGTGGAGAGACGGAAGAGGAGCATAAAGAAACCCTAAGCTTGATAGAGATTGTGCAGTATGACATGGCTTATCTGTTTGCCTACAGCATGCGGGAGAGAACGCATGCGCACAGACATTACGCAGACGATGTGCCAGAAGATGTGAAGAAGCGACGCCTAGCGGAGTTGATTGACACCTTCCGGAGATCCTGTGCGCCTAAGTATGATGCCCAGGTAGGGCAAGAGCAACTGGTTCTAGTCGAGGGTATCAATAGACGAGCGCCAGATGCAGAAGTGTTTGGAAGAAATGACTATGGATTCAAAGTCTTCCTTCCTAATCAAATTACGCTTGGGAGTGGTGATGACTTGTGTACAAAGCATGAACATGACTCTTCTGCTTGCAATCCTCCCCCTCCTCCCCCTCCTCCGCCTCCTCCCCCTCCTCCTCATTCCAGTGCTACTATCTCTGTTCATTCAGATTCCCAACAGAGAATGGGTGGTAGTGGTGGGGCCTCTGCCTCCTTCTCCTCCTCCTCCGCCTCCTCATTCTCGACCTTCTCCTCGTTGTGCAGTCAAGTAGAAGAACGCGATGCAGGTCTGGAAAGCAGCGAAAGTGGTGTGGAAGTAGGTGTGGAACACAGCGAAAGTGGTTTGGGAACGGTTCTCCTGCGGCCAGGAGATTACGTTCGCGTAAGGATAGAGTCCACTACCGGAGCGTCTTTGAGAGGTATTCCTCTGGAAAAAGTGACTTTGACAGAGTTTTACCGTTCTCTGCGCCGCAAGCATGTCAGCAATCCTTCATTAGTTTTGCAGTGATGTAACCGCACACATATAGTCAGATCATCTTGTTGAAAAAAAGCTTCAATCTTTTTGTCTCCTTTCCCTTTGTGAGAAGAGTACCATGCATCTCTCTCTCTCTCTCTCTCTCTCTCTCTCTCTCTCTCTCTCTCTCTCTCTCTCTCTCTCTCTCTCTCTCTCTCTCTCTCTCTCTCTCTCTCTCTCTCTCTCTCTCTCTCTCTCTGTGTGTGTGTGTGTGTGTGTGTGTGTGTGTGTGTGTGTGTGTGTGTGTGTGTGTGTGCTGCTTGTCTGGAGGATCCAGAATCCTGGCATAGTATAACTATTTGTACGTTTGTATGCATCAGGCATGGGTTATGTCTCTCAGTTTTTGGGTGTTCATTTCTTTGTTTATTTATTAATTCTCAATCATTCAGTTATTTGAACTTATTTTAAGCTATTTATGTCTTTTTTTTTTCAGGTATGTGATGGTAGGGATCCTTGTCTCTGAGTTTTTTTTGGGGGGGGGTGTTCCCTGATATCCCCCTTATAATGGAACTGTAATCTATCCATTTACATTTCCCTCCCCTCCCCTCCTCTCCCCTCCCTCTGAGTGGCCCATCTGGCGCAGGCATGCCCACTGTGTCGGAGGGTTATCTTTAGAAGTGAAATAAAAACTATGGATACTATGGAAGGGTGCCGCTGTGGACTCCAGTGTTATGCCCAATCCCAACACCAAGGGGAAAAAGAAAGAAAGAGAAAACAGAAGGAGAACTGCCAGGCTTGTCCCCATTAACGGGCGACTATAAATAGCACAACAGACCGTCGACACACCTCAGCCAATGGAGAGAGAAAACCAAAATTCTCATGAAGTACACCGTCTCAATCACAGCCATGCTTTGGATGAACGCACACACCAAAATCATCCACACCACCAACGGGTCCGAAATATGAATCAGACCCGAGTTCGAATCCAGATCCAATCAGATGAACAGAAATCAAATAAGTCTGAATTACCTGGTCGAAGACGGTATCTCGAGGCTGTCACCTGTTTTTTTTTTGTTTGTTTTTTTTTATTTATTTTTATTTATTTATTGTTTTTTTAATCATCCGGACCTACTACTTCAAGTCCTTGACCAAGCACAACCCCACTGACTCATCACCTCTCAAACTGCAAAAAAAAAAAAAGGAAGGAGGAAAAAAAATTACTAATCAAGGGCATCCTATAGGGGCATCACGTGCCGCGGAATTGCTAAACTCAGTTGGAAAGACCTCCCCATAGATCCGCTGCAATGGGTCTGGAACCAAGACGTACAACACAATCTGGGTCAGTCAAACTCCAAATAATAACAAACTCTTTTGTTTGTCTAAACAAGTATACGTTTTTTTTGCTACTTTTTGAACAGGCTGATTACCATAAAAAATAGGTAACTTTTTAATCGCTTGTAATTTTTGTGAAAATTCACCAAGGCATTGGCAGGTCTTTCAGTGAAAGCAACATACAGAATGCTCAGAAGTAAACGGTTCCTAAGAGATGTAGTGATAGACAGATGGCATAGGCACCTCAATGTGGAAAAACAACTCCTCGCACCGATTCAATGGTTTCGTGACACCAAGTGTAGGCCTGCCAAAATTACGTCCCTGCAATGGCAAATCTTACATCGTTGTTTACCTACAAACGATTGGTTGATCGACCACTCGCACTTGGAACAGCAGGGCCGTGCCCTCCCTTGGTGCTCGCGATGTCTGTCAGGCTAACCAGCAAGGAAGAGAGCAGAGACAATAGAACACATCCTTCTTCAATGCCCGACAGCAGTCCTTACCTGGAGATGGTGGGATAGAGTGTGGCAGCAAATGGTTCCGGATCATAGATGGCCGTGGGAGCGGGTGTTGGAGCGGGGAGCCATTCTCACGGGTCACTGCCCGCCTCTCCAAGGGGACATTTTTGCCTGGAACATGTTCCACCTGGGCCGAAGAACGGTCCTATGGGTTCTATGGTGGCAACGCTGTGCTCTGGTCTTCGACCAAGTTCGAGTGGAGGGAGAGGAGAGGATTGAACAATTTAAACAGCACATTCAACTACAACTTACGTACAGATGGAAGTCAGTCAAGCTTGCTCTTGATACCCTTCACAGGCCAAAGGACATCGTGGAGAGGCTAGTGCAGTTCTCTAGGGAGTGGTTGGGAGGGCCCTTCCACAACCTGCTCAGTCAATCCTCTGGAATCCAGAGTAATCAGTGCTGGCAGGCGTTATCCAGTCTCGTTTTTTCGGATGCTTTCGATTTTTTCTGTATTATTTATGCATACAAGTGGACCCGCCGCAGCCACGCTGCGGCAGAGGAGAGGGACGAACAGGGGGACGGGGCCGTTGTTGTTATAGTGCAGGTTTTTTTTTGAATAATTTTTTTTTTTGGTCGCCATACTCGCTGTACACTCAAGAATAACATGACTGTGGAAGACTGTTTCCTCTCTCTCTCTTCTCCCCTCTCTTTCTCTCTCTCTGTCTCTCTCTCTCTCTCTCTCTCTCTCTCTCTCTCTCTCTCTCTCTCTCTCTCTGTGTGTGTGTGTGTCTCTGTGTTGCTCTGCTGCGCGCGCACGTGCGCTGTTTTTCCGGGGTATTTTTTTTTTTTTCAGATCTCTCAATGGTTTACAGGTCAGATGTCAAACTGATCGGAACAGATACTACACTTGATCGTCATCGTCGTCGGCGTTTTGGGGGGCAGGGTAGCTAGTTAATTTGGGGTCTCTCTCTCTCTCTCTCTCTCTCTCTCTCTCTCTCTCTCTCTCTCTCCCGCGTATTGAGCGCGCTTGTTTTTATTCTTTTCTTTTTAACCATCTCG